AGAAATTGTTTTTAAAGTTAAATTGATTTAGATACTTGCCCAGTAGCGGAAAAAGTACTTGTGCCTGTATCCTTTACTGGACTCCAGGTGGCAGCAGAGAGTTATTTACACTTAATCATAAATTACATCTTAACCAAAAGCGTACACTTTGGTTGTTTTTTCAATACTGTTCAGTTCTTTCTTAGGACTAAGCTTGTTTTACAAACTGGATGGCCAGGATTAGGAAGGCTCTCTGAGATCATGCCGCAAAGCAAAGATTCAAATAATCACTTTTGTATCATTAAAACAATTCTTAAATTAGATAAACCTACTAACCACAACTAATATACTGTTGGCTAAGCATATTTAACCAGTACAAGTTTATGAAAAACTGATAAATATAAAGCAATTAACCATTTTAGGACTTCCTATTCCTAGAAGTACAAAAAGTGTATATAAAGAACCATGGTCACTTAGTTGCAATTTTAGGACATTTGATACATCTTAGAAGCATAGCAGTGTCCCATAAACCATTGAAGACAGAAAGTACTATGAAAACATATTTAAAAAATTCATGGAATTCTGAATTACCCTCCCACGGTAAACAACAAGTATTCTGGATAACATAGGTAAAATACACTTGTAAACTGACCTAGTAAAGGATACGGAGGCCAAAACAACACTGAAGTGCGCAGACTGAAGCTGGTCTTTACTCCAGTGCATTGGTGAACCAGACAAATTTGAACCTTGATTTACACCTCTGTAAAGAGCACTGAGAAGAGACATCACCTTTGTCTTCCTTAGCATGGCAATTCTAAGGTTGAGACACCTAAGGGTCACTTTTTCAGTGAGAGAACAAGCTAGAAGTTACCATCTTGAACTCTGCACCTGCTCCCACACCACTGAAGGTGAAATTGCCTGTGTCTGGAAACTTGGTTCCAAGTATAGGGAGGGAAAAATTCTCTTGTAAGCATAAGATGGCCCACACAGCTTTGTGGCCCACAGTTATACAGCTGGCTGAGAATTAGATTAGAGTAGCCATAGATCCAGGAGCCTCACAAAAGCAAATACAAATATTCTCTACTGTAACTCACTTCTATTGCAGTCCCCAGAGAAGTCCCACAAAATATGAGTTCACAAAAATAATGAAACCCAAAAGTAAAAGACACAGCATGAGTGACAGCCAGCATTTACCAGACACTCAAAGATGGACTTTATAGAAATTGTGAAACGTAGAATATAAGTCAAGAATATTTAAATATGTTTATAAAAATAACCACACTGAAATTACAAGCAAAGAGCAAGAGCCATGAAAACAAAAATAAAATAATTAAGCATAGAGTGTCAAATAGAATTCCTAGTTATAAAAAACATGTGATATTTAAAAACTCAGTGAAAATTGATAAAATAGTAATAAAAATATGTAATGGGGTTTAAAATAATAGGATTAAAATATAGAACAACAATAAGGCATATATTATTAAGCCTTTATTCCAACAGACTTTTGAGTTTAAGTGAAATAGACAAGGCCCTGAACAAATATCTCACTATATCTGACCCAAAAGAAATAGAAAACCCAAATAATCTTATAATCTTTAAGGAAATTGAATGAGTCCAAAGTATGTCAGTTAATCAGTCTCTCCAGGCCTAGCTGGCTCCTCCGGCAATCCTAAATACTTAAGAAAGAAAAATTTCCAATCTTACACAAATACTAGGGAACAAACTGGACATAACCATTCTAGCTCATTTTGTGCAGCTGCCATAATCCTGATAACAAATCCAACAAGGAAGACTTCCCCCAAAAAACAGAAAAGAAAAGAAGAGTAAAGGTCACCTCACTGATGGATGTTGATTTAAAATATCCTAAGCAAAATATTAACACACTAAATTCAACAACAAATTTTTTTAAAAAAGACCAAATTGACCTTATACAACGAAAGTTTGATTTAACATTAAAAGCTCAATTAATTTTACGTTATTAATTATAAATAGGTTAAAGGAAAAAAATCATACGGCCTCTCAGTAGATGCATAAAATTCACATTTTATAAAATTGAAATGCATTCATGACTTGTTTAAAAAAAATTCTTAGCAAAAGAAATAGCCTGAGAATATCTATAGCAAGTATTATGCATAATAATGAAACATTGTATTCATTCTCTGTAAGATTAGATATAAAACAAATATGCTTGCTGTCATCACTTTATAAAATTGTTGATATTTGACCTTTTTGACTCCAAAAATCTGGTTCATCTGGTTCAACATAATAAAAATTGATAATGATAGCAGATATCTTAAAGGCAGTTTATCATATCTGAATTATGCAGTCAGGGGACAGAAAGTTACACACCTAAATACTAAGATAGGATAATTAAGGGACAGAAAAAAAGTACCAAGGAGTGCCATGAATATGTGAAAGTGTTTGTTTATTTAACAAGTACTAATCTTGCACATATCATGTGTCAGGCACCCTTTAAGTGCTTCACAAAGATAATTCATTTCATCCTCAGAACAGGCCTACGAGGCAGGTACTTCCATGATCCTCATTTAACAGATAAGGAGACTGAGGCAGAGAGATTCAGTACTTTGCCCGAGATCACATAGCAATTAAGTGGCAGGGTGAGTATTTGAACCCAAGTAGTCTGACTTCGGAGTCTTTTTCTTAAACATATGCTATGCTAACTCTCAACTAGAATGTTATGTACTGTGCTGCCAGAGCCATTAGAGAGGAAACCTATCAAACGAATGTATTTAAGAAATTGCTTATTGATGTGAGTGTAGGGATATTGTTCCAGCCATTTATTCATGGCTGCATTTCCTCAAACTTATTAGCATAAAACAATAATTTGGCTTATCTCTGCTCCATAAAGTCTGGATGGAATGACTGACTAGAGACTGGATGGCTTGAAGGCTGGGCTCAGTTGGGCCTGTGGGCCCAGAACCCCATGTATACCCTTAAAATAGCTGGGGGTTTTCACACTATGGCAGCTGGAGTTAGAGGGGAGAATCCGGGGGACAGACATGCCAAAAGTATAAGAATATAGTTGCAAGGCTTCTTTGGACCTGGCCTCCAAAGTGGTGCAGCATCATTTTCTCCACATTCTTTGCTTATGAGTAAGTCACTGGGTCCAGCCCTGGTTTAGGGGAGAGGAATTATGCTCTACCTCATGTGGGGGAGGAACAAGGTAACATTGCAGAGGAGCAGATGTGTGGGGATAATGTCAAGGCCACCTTTGGAAACATAATTGGGCACAGGCTCAGAGATTGTTGACAGAGCAATGGGTCCTGGGATAGAAACTCTCATCTGCAAGTAACTGAACAGACAGCTGATATGGCTTAAACACTCAGGGGGTTATTAACGCATGAAATGAAATGGGCAGAGGCAGGGCAAGTGCAGAGTTACTTCAGTTGCTCAGTGATGTCATCAGCGCCCCCATTGATTTCTACGTTTCCACTCTGCCATGCTTAACACAGCCAATGTGTCTCAGTCTTTGGTTTTAGGATGGCTGCAGCAATTCCAAGCATCAGAAGAAGATGTAACAAGGTCAAACAAAGAAAAATAAGAGTACTTCTTCCCAGGAGTCTCGTTTGACTCGAGAGAAAACCTGCTCCTGAAATGTCACAGCCAACTTACGTTTAGGTCCCACTGGTCAGGGATCGGACCTTGCTCGTGTTTATACCATAGCTGGAAAGTTACCTGGGGAAAAAAGGATCTAACATTTTGGCTTGCAGAGTAAGAAAGGCTTTTACTAATAAAAAGAAGGAGGAGAGAGAATGACTGTTGAGTGACCAATGTTTGCCACAAGTATAGGCAACCATCCATTTGTTTTGCATTTCTTAGTTGGTTGTTAATTATGTACCAGGTACAGTGCTAAGAGAGGCAGGGCACAGCAGTGAATAACATAGAGGACATCCCTGATAAGGCTTAGAGTCTGACACAGAACAGAGACATGTAACAAGCAATTATATAATTAAGCACAAATGTGTTAAGTGCTATGAAAAGAAGTATGCAATCAATGCACAATTTGCTGTAATAAAAAATATTTCTTAATGGGCACATAGCGAAATGAAAGAAAAGATTAGTAACTACTAGAAGAAGAAAAAGGCCTTTGCTAAGCCTAAAAAGTAATAATTGAAAACTATGAATTTTTCCATTGTATAAGGGAGTGAAGCACGAGTCTGGTAGATAGAAGTGTCTTCATCATTAGAAAAGTTACTCCATCAAGAGTCAGAGACCATTTACTGGGATTTACTATGGACCTGATGAACTCTCTCTTAGGACTATCTGACCTTCTTCTATTCAACTGCAGGTTCGCCAAGCCGGATTACTTCATCACCTGCCCAGCACTTTGGATACCAGATTGGAATCCTCCAGTCTCTGGAAAGTTATATCCACCACCAAAAAGTGTTATTTTGTTAAATTTAATGTGAGCATAAATAATCTTAGGCCTAATCCCTTTTCAGGAACCTGAAAATTGAGAAAACAGGTCTTCAAAGGTAAAAACTGTGGATGACAAAAGGGGCTCTATGGAAAGTAACCACACAGGGTGATCTGATCATAAATTCCTGACTGGGAAGGTCACAGTGGGCAGTCACACCCCAGGCATACAACTCTTTAATAAAAGGTTTATCTTTGCTTCAAGAAGCCGTGTTCATTGTTTCTATGCATCTAGGTTACCGTACCTTTGAAATAAACTGTAATCACCCTCAAGAGAGCACATAATCTTGTTAAATATCCTGTAATCCAATTGCCACCTTGTTTTCTCCCACCTTCATGTAATATTCCCTACATTTCCCCTTTAATTTTAAATGCATAAAAGTAGCTATCATTCTGAAGAGCATTTGAGATATTGCTCACTGGCATATGTCATCAGGTTTTCTCAAATAAGCTCATAGAAATTATTTACAGGTTTTAATTCTTTTACATCGACATAACACAGACTAGGAAGCCATAGTGAGCCACACTCTGTCCCCTCCCAAGATATAAAGCTGGCCTTGCCCAGGACAGCATGAAAAACCCACCTTGTATATTCCTCTGATAACAGCTATGGCATCTGCCAACTGCTGATTGTAGCATTTTCTTATGGTATCCTCATTCTGCAATCCAAAAAGAAGTACAGTGAGCACCATAATGCATTTCCAAAAACAACTCTCACACTTACTAGGAAGGAACTCAGCATAAAACCATTCAAATCATCACAGCCTCTTAAAAACTTTATAATCATTTCTTCTATGCTACCACTATTATAATATATTCCATTTTTTACTTATACTTAACCAAAAGCAACAGAGTCCACATGGGTAAAATAAATAAAGCTAATTTAAAGATTTTATTTTATTTTACATATCAAAGTCTTTTTAGTGTTTTCTAGAACTGCTATTACAAGTAGTAAAATTCATTTGCAATTCATATCCTCTTCTGGTCCTTCTACTTTCTGAATGGGTTTGCTCATGAAAAGAAATCTAAAGCCACTGATCCATAAACTACTTAATTTCTGATTAATCACATCATTTGATCATATCTGTTTAGGATAACAGTAAAGGATGGTACATTTAGAAAAATACCCTTGACTCTGACACCAACTCTACATCCAGCATGGAGTGTAAACAACAGTAGGGTCTGGAGTCGGAGAGAACCAGAATTCAGTATTGTTGTGCCATTTACTATCTGACCTCAAGCAAGTTACTATATTTTGTCATGTATAATGTGTACTTTTGTGGCCCATATTTTTGAGGGAAAAATAAGGATATGCATTATGCCTGGGTATAATAATTACATATCAAGGGTAAAATAGTGGGTATAACAATCCTGTTTATAATGTGCACAAAAACGTGGGTGAACATTATACATGGCAAAATAGGACTTAACTTGGGCAGCTCAGTTTCTGTATTTGTAGATCAACGATAATAGCATTTCCATTTTAGGGCTGTGAAAGCACTTGAGAAAATGGATTTAAAAGGCTTAGCACAGTACTTAAAATGCTGTGGTCAACAATATATGAAGATGGATTTTTTTGTTTTATAACAGAGAAATAAGAGTGATTCCTATTCATAATGACAGGTAAATATGCTAATCTGGCCAAAGATTTTAAGAAATTCCTCAAAGCAGCAGAGTTTTCATGTCTTTGGCTCCCAAAAAGCCATTAAAGCACAAATAAGAGCACATAAAATTGCCTTTAAGAACTAGATCGGAAGCATCAAACTGGCCTGGAACCTAAACTCAGCTGTTTTAACCTGGTGATTTTGAGCAAGTTAATTAACCTTTCTGTGCCTCGGTTTCCTCATCTATAAAAGAGGGATAATGTTCTTACTTTATAAGGTTAGTATAGGGATTAAATAAATTCATATACAGAACACTTAGAAAAATTCCTGACACATAGTAAAGCTGTATGTATTATATAGCTCTATGCAGCTCTATGTAGCTATTATATGGGGCACAAACATGCAAATTAAATTGCCCTGAAAAGTTGCTAAGTTCAAAACTGTAGTATATACATCTCTAAACACAAGGTCAATCCACACACACACACACACACACACACACACACACACACAAATGTGAGTACTTCTACCTGTTGATAATGTTTTTCGATTATTAGGATCCTGTCATTCAGAGCAGTAAAGAGATTGAAAGACTCCTCTTTAAGACGGTCCTCAAACTTCAATTGAACCAATTGTTTCAGGAAGCCAAAATCTACCTGAAGGGATTTAATTATCTAAAAATAGAAAAACATACATTATTGTATAGAGTAAGGGTCCTCTGTGTTAAGACTGTAACACCATGCCTGGTTTTTGGCACATGACCTGGGTACCTGGTACCTGCTCAGGTGACTGTCCTGTCTTTTTTATTTTTTTAATTCTTATGGAGATTTTAGAAAGAGAGAGAGAAGGAGAGAGAAATATTGATTTGTTGTTCCACTTATTTATGCATTCGTTGGTGGATTCTTTCATGTGCCCTGTGATCGGGGATTGAACTCACAACCATGGAATATTGGGACATTGCTACTTGTGATCATTAAAACACAATGTATTTTTGTTTCCCACCCATTTAAAATGTATTCCTAGTTAATCTGCCCCTGTCCTGAATGAAAATTTTAGGCAATTCCATAGCTTTTTGTTCATTCTTGAGAGCAGAAAGGCCTGCCATCACTCAAATCACAGCCTTAAAAATATTTGGAATATCACCACTCTGAGTTAATATGACCACTTCCAACTTCCTTTACAGGTGAGATCAAGAGCTGTACACCAAGAGCTAAGGGCAGTAGCTGCCTGTCTTTAAGGAAAAGAGTGTGATTCACTCTTGAACTCTCTCCTGTCTCACCTCTCCTTTCATATTCTAGCTGCTGTGTCTCCAATATGGGCAAAGCCGAGGGGATAAAGGAGCGTGGCTGGTCCTACCTGGTGGGGTGGCTTCACCCAGACTTGGCAGGTCAAGGGAATTAACTCTTCTTTCCTTGGGCACTGACAAAGCTTCTCTAGAGACTTCCATTGCCAGGACCCTCTTCCCTGTGAGGGCACTTTCTCCTGTGGATGTGTAGCAGATGCTTCTCTACTGTGGTGATCATCGCTGCCCCTTCCTCAGTCCCTGTGATTCTGGAGTTCTCCTGTTTCCTCTCCCTGCTATTTGGGGTCCTCCACCCTTCTAGATCCCTCTACTGGATAAGACCCAGAATAATCCACATTGGCTAGCACTCCCCGTCCCTCTCTTTCTTCTCCTCCTCCTTCTCCTCCTCCTCCTCCTTCTTTTCTTCTTTCCTCCTCCTCCTCCTCTTCTTTCTCTCTTCCTCCCTCCCTCTCTCTCTCTCTCTCTCCACCCCTCTGTCTCATAGACCACATCTGGTCCACAGAAAACAATCATTCTGAAGTGTAAGCTGATCCCAACTTAGCCACTCAGCCTTCTTGCCACAACCCTCTTTTTTGCACATGGATCAAGCACTAGTTCTTGGTGCCTTCCAGTAACAGCAAACATTTCAAGTTCTATAAAAGTGTGCCTTACTAGATGTCAGCTGAGGAAGATCACTTCTGCTGCCCCATCTCCCACAAAAAGCATGGAAATAGTGCTTTCTAAAGAAACTGCTCCAGCATTTTTTTCTCTTTATCTCTTGATCCCTTTTCTTATTGCTCTTGATCTGATTTAAGGGCTAAGAGTCACTGGTCTGATGTTCAACAGTCCCTTTCCAAATTCTGCAAATGGGATCTACCTCACACCTACTTTAGAATTTGATGCTTGGTATACCAGCATCCTGGAAAGAATCTCGTTTTAGTATTCTCATGCTCTGTGCAAGGTTATATTTTGCAGGTGAGGATATCAAGACTTTGAGAGGTTACGTGACTAACTAGTCTACCATTATGAGGCTGGTAAGAGGAAAGCCCAGGTTTGAACGGACACTGACTCATATTCTTTTCTCTTTATATACGGGTACTATGTTAAGAAATCATTAAAAAATATATCCTAGAGCCAGTGAAGTCTTAAGAAACTCCTTAAATTGACTCCTTAAATTGCAGGAACAAGTAGAGATGATTTTGCTTTTAGAAGAACCAGCCCTATACAGACAGCTTGTTCTGAAGAAGAAAGGCACAAGAATCTCGGGGTGCTCAAACAAACTTTTGCTGGACGACGGAATTCCACTGATACTATAAACTCTAGACACAGTAAGACCAAAACACAACCAACAACTCAAAGATGCTGGAGAATAAAAAGAAAAGAAGGAAGATGGGGAAGGGGAGTGGGAGGAGGAGGTAAAGCCATAGAAAGTTCATGTGAAGGTTCCCAAAAGCTGCCACATAACATTTGCAACTAAATTCTATTGACGAGAACTTAGTCATCTGGACATCCTTAGCTGTGAGGGAATACAGTTATAAAACTTTCCCAGAGGCATTTAAAAAGACAACAAACTGGCAAGTATTAGGAAAAGGGACAGCCTCAGAAGTTACTAGTGGGAGTATAAACTGGTTCAATCTCTATGCAGGGCAATTTGGCAATATCCTTCAAAATGACTAATGCATACATCCTCTGACTCAGAAATTCCACTTTTAAGAATTTCCACCACAGATTTACTGGCATATGAGTATGTACCAAATCGTCAGAGTAAAAGGTTTGAAATGACCAAAATGTCCACCAATAGGAGGATAGCTAAATAAATATGCACATTTTTGTGATATGATGCACTTGTGAAATAAATCAGGAAATCTTATTATGGAATGATTTTCAAGTTCTATTGTTAAGTGAAAAAACAGAAACAAAGTACACAAGAGTATTTATAGTAGTGGGACACTATCTCATGTGATAGTTTTATTGATTAGGGAGTTTAATAATAACTCTTGATATCTGATATATATGAAATGTTCTGTTTCTTTACAGTCAAAAGTTCTAAAGGAACTATTTGACAAAGTTGTATGTTAGGTAACACAGTTATTTGGTATATTACTCTCTACATTCTACAATATCTAAAAAGTATCATACATAGAAAATGTTCACAGATGTCAAATTCCAAAGAGTAGCAAAACACCTCACTAAACATATATAAGCACAACATAAATATGACATAAATATAAGTAGTGGTTCATATTGATAATTTTTTAAAATCCTCACCTGAGTATATGTTTACTGATTTTAGAGAGAGAGGAAGGGGGGAGGGAGGAGAGAGAGACAGAGACAGAGACAGAGTCAGAGAGGAAGAGAGAGAGAGAGAAAGGAACATCAATTGGTTGCCTCACATATGCACCCTGACCGGTGATCGCTCTGGTATGTGCTCTGACTGGGAATTGAATCTATAACCTTTTTAGTGTACAGGACAACACTCCAATGAACTGAAGCACCTGGCCAGGGCCTCCTTTTTTTTTTTTTTTTTTTTAAAGCACAACTGTCATCCAATTCAGTTTGTAAAAGATGCTAATATTTTTAACTTTTTAATCATTTCAGTTCTGTCAAGAAAAGAGACATAAAGGCAATTAATACTTAAAAAAATTATCTCAGAAGTTTCAGATTAATCCAGATTTACCTGCATTAGCTTTTGTGTAGATGAGCTTAACTCTTTTAATGGCAAAATTTCACTGGAATCCGTTTGAGTAGCATGGTCTGTGCTGAAAAAGCCAACTTTCAAATCATCTGATATGGTAAGTCTAAAAAAAGATTAAATGTGATTTATATAGCAGATATTTCCTTAAAACTATATGTTAGTGAATATATTTTTGTTTAAATCATATTATGTTTTAAAGAGGTATTAGTAAAGTGAGGAAACCTCTGAATTACCTGCTGACAATTTGGGGTTTTCACCAGGACTGATGGATTATCCAATTCCCTACACTGTGGCGTTATGCTCCACTGATACCCATTTCCATTTTCTGAGAACTGATAAACTTATAAGCCTCCTTTAAATATATTATTTACTGTGTTATGTGTGCTACCACTTGAAACCATTATAAATTACACACAGTAATATCAAGAAAAACTAGTTTACGATAGTGGTTCTCAAAGTTTGGTCTGAGAACCAACCCCTGAGGCTCCAAGATGCTCAGGGAATCCACAAGGTCAAAATTATTTTCATAATAACATTAAGATTTTGTTTCCCTTTTCCACTTTAATTCTTTCACAAGTGGTCAATGGAGTTTTCCAGAGGCTGCACGACATGTGACTGCATGGCAGATTGAATGAGAATTCAGCTATTTCTCATTAAGCCAAGCGTTGAAAAGTCTTGCAAAAATGTAAAAAACACACTCGTTTTATTAAAGTTTTTGTTTTGAAAAATAGTTTGTTTTTCTGTAAAGTATGTTACTTATATTAATATTAACACAGAATTGATTTATCATAATTTTAAATGATCACTGGGAATAGAGAAAACAAAATTCTTTGAGGTTCCCAATAAGTTTTAAGACTATAAAGAGGTCCTCGAACCAAAAATTTTGAGAACTGCTTCTTTGTGATGATCACACACTTGTATTGTATTTGATTTTCAGTCAGTTCTTGAAAAATCTGAGCAGGCCAACATCAAGTATTTGTAAACTCCTCCTACTGACCTTTAATGACAAGCATCTCAAACAGAAATAAGAAGGCCAATATTCTGGATGCAACCTTTCTTTTTGAGGTTGATCAAACTTACCACAACTATTGGTTTATAAAATGTCAGCTAAAAAAAATAAAGCTATAAAAGCCAAGTGGAATTTTTGTTGGTTAAAATCAGGCTCTGTGGTATGGTTTATTAATGATGTACAATTAAAGGGGTTCCCCTCCTTATTTCCCAATGTCCCATCTCTGTTCATCTCACCATAGAGAGTATCCAGTCCTGTCTTCAGTAGGGCTAGAAGGAAGACCACTGTCCAGAGTGTATGCCTCATATTAAAGTCAAGTCCAGTCCAGTCCAGTCCGGCATTTGGCTGGCTTAGCATGTGTTTCCAGATGCAGTCTGTTTCGGGCCCCCTCCTGGAGTTGCATGACCCTGGGCCACATGGCTTCTAGGGCCACATGGCCATGCAAAGAACAAATGCATGCACGATGCAAGTGCAGGTCATGAGCAAGAGAGAAAAAGTTGTTTTGTTTCCTTAGGGTTACAACCAGGAGCTTGGGTTTGGGACAGTGCTTCCTCAAAAACACTGATCAACTTCCCAAATTTCTGTGGGCTTTGCCTGGGTTTATACCTTCTGGTTAGGCTGACAGGTCTCTATGATCCAGCACCTCCCCCTTGCCTCCCAACAATCAGTACTGGAGGGGGATAAGGAGGAGTGTTAATCCCCTTGGCACAGAAATGCTGTAACCCCCAAGGGTGTGAAGCTATAGCTTCCTAGCTAGTGAGCAGGCTTATATTCCCTGATATATTAAGCTGAACGTCTAGTTCCCTTTGCTCTCTTTCCTTTCTCAATATCTACTTAAATACCAGTGGTAACAGAATTACCAGACTTTTCAGAGTGCCAGCTCTGAAGACACTGTGCCTGTACTTCTGTCCTCTACAGGGGTATGAGGGGAAAGGTTTTCTCTGTGACTCTGGACATTGCCACTTGTGGAAATGATGCCAAGAACTGCCACAGTTATCTGGTGACCACGAGAAGGTCCAGCTAGAGGGGCAAAGCCAGGACATAGATACTGAGCTTTTTAAAAGCTGGAAATAATTTGGACTGATGACTTTGTTTAACCATTGACTCAAAGAAACCTGTCATACCGCTGGACTTCCTATAATGTTATATTCTAAATGCATCTGGTGAGAGCTTCTGTCAAATGATATTTTAGCTATGTGACATTACATAATTACTTAAATTTTCTATGCCTTAGTTTTCTCTTATGTAAAATAATAGCACCCATTTCATAGTTATTGGAAGGATTACTGTGTTAACACTTAGAAGTACTTTGAATGGTGCATGTCACATAGCAAGCCCTTAAGCAATGTTACCTGTTACTGATGTTGTGGTGGTGGTTATGACTATCACTACCATGTTTTAAAATATCATAATTTTTTTATCACATTTGGAGAACACTATTAAGGCATAGTGATATTCATTTAAGAAAGACTACTTAAATTTTTTTAAACTTTTTAATATTCAAAATAATTATTTGTTATTAATCTCACTAAATTTTCAACTGATCCACACACATCAAATATACTGATGATAGACCTCATCAACACTATGATCTGGATGGGATAGGAGCATAAGTAATGTACATCTCAATTTCAATTAAAATTTCTAGTGTTTTTCCACAGAAACTTGTATTTTAGATTGGGTTTAATTCATTGCAGGAAGCTGTATCTTTTTCTCACTAGCACAGTACTGTTGGGAGGGGATGTCTCATGTGGCCCTGATGTCCCTGCACCTTCTTTCTGGGCAGGCCAAGGCTGTGAAGCTCTGACCGTGCTTTCCACAGACTGTTCTCCAGAGCTTTGTTTACAGTGAGTGTCCTTGGGGATAAGATAACGTCTCTCGCATCCCCCCACCACAAACCCAAATGGCTATAGTAGCAGAGATGGAGTTTAACAACAGGATCTTCCCTTTATCAAGGTAGGCCTGGCTGAGACAAGCATTGAGTGCCCAATCAGTCAACAGCAAAGATACTGAGTCCCTAATATGGAAGTATTAACCGATGAACAGGGATAGTCAGCAACTTGGAGGCAAGTTGGTATCACTGACTCTCTGAGATAGATATATGTTCTTGTTACTGATTTGCATTCCTTGACTATAATGTATCTACCAGAACCACCATCCATTGATAAAGCATTACAGAATGTTTTACATAACATCATGACCTACTTAACATCACTCCTGATCAAGGTACTCATTTTATAGCAAAAGAAGTGCGGCAATGAACTCATGCCTGTGGAAATGACTGGTCTTATCACATGTCCCATCACCCAGTAGTGGCTGGCTTAATGAAAAGGTAGAACAGCTTTTTGAAAATTCAGTTATGGCAGTTGAGAGACAATCCATGAAAAGATGTGGTCCTGTCTTACAGGATGTAGTATACACTTAGAATAAGTAGTGGTGCTCCCTCTCCCATGCTATAGGTCCAGGAATCAAAAGGTAGAAGTGGAATTGACTTCCTGTGCTAATACACCTAAGCACCCACTCCTGAAATTGCTTCCTGTCCAAACATCTTTTATGATCTGCTATCTTGGAGGTCTTAGTTCCTAAGGGGAGAATGCCTCCTCCCAGAAACACTTGACCAAAAGCAGAGAAAGTGGTCACTCTAGGGGCTGAAGTGACTGTTTCTTATCAGGTTGTTGGTATACAGTGGAGTGAGGGAAACTATGTTGGGAACTCAGGAGAGTCTCTGGGGTGCCTCTTAGCATTTCCATGCTGAAGGGGAGCAGAATTTGCCACCCCAAAATATGCCTCTTTAGCATAGTGTTCTCTTTAGCTGGTTGTTTTTAAGCACAGGAGAAACTCTCCAAACTGAATAGAAGTTGCCCCTTTGTATGGGACATTTGCATTTATAAGGGAATTTACACTTGTAAGGTCGTCTCCCTCCCTCTTTACCTTGAAGAGAAGGGTGATTCAATCTGTAGAAACTCATCAGTAGAGAAGACTCAGGCTTTAAGTTGCATAACAACCATACTGTGCTTTGCCTTAGAGAAGACTCAGGCTTTAAGTTGCATAACAACCATACTGTGCTTTGCCTGATTACCTCCCAAAACTGGCTTCCCCTCTCCCTGCAACATCTTCTTTAGTCTTTAGCTGTAAATAGTACGTAAGGTGGCGGTTTGGACCAGTTACTTAGTTTTCCTGAGTATTGCCTATGTATACAGGAAATGTATGGTTTTTTTTTTCAAGTTACAGGAGGTATATGTGTTATTAAACTTCTGTTTTTCTCCTGTTAACCTGTCTTTTATTACAAGGGGATCTTAGTCAAGCACCCAGAAGGGTAAAACGAAAATTACATTTCCTCCCCTAAAAAACAAACAAACAAAAAAAAACAAACAAAAAAATAAAGCAAGACTTTGAAACTCAGGACCAATAGGAATGAAGATTGGGCAAAGCTCCAAGCTCTGGCAAATTTCTCTGCCACTAGCCACATCTGAGGGAGGACTTAATTTCAGCTTGTGGGAGTCGTAACTACAGTACTGCTTAAGTATTTTAACACTCCATTGCCTTTCACTAGTTAAAAATCCTTGTTAATGTTTAGTAAAGAAAAGAAAGTATCCCCTGTTCAAATACTGGTGAGGTTTCTGCCTTCTGTCTGGACCTGGAGTGCTGCTACATCGATATAATAAACAGAAACTGCCACCTAAACTTTACCTGCTTCTTTTAATCTACAAGGCTGCACATTTGACAGAGCTCTGTGATTCACCCTTCCAGTCCATGAATGCAATCTTTGACCTCCTTAGTGCTGAGCACTACTTTTTACTATTCAACTTTATTCTTTATTAAGTTTGACATGTGTGTTCTTTCTTTCTTTTTCTTTATAAGCAAAAAATCTATTGTGGGCAGTAGTTATATGAACTGTGGGTAGTTAATATTACAAATATATAATGTTATATGTTAATTATATCTAAAATACTTGAAAACAATAAAAGTGCAAAAAATAAAAACCCCAAAAACATTTTCAGGATATGATTTTAAAATGTGGAATAATCTTTTCAGTTACTCTTTCTGGTGTCATAATATTAAAATACTACAATACAATATTTTTAAATTAAGTTTAAAAATTTTATAGACAGCCCTATTGGAGTATCTAAAAATAATATTAGTGCCTATTTATTGAGTACTTAACTTGTCCCATGTACTTTGTTATAACATTTGCCTCAACACACACATTTTCCCCTCAGGTTGTACTCCCAATAATCTCTTAAGAGAGATATTAACTTTCCTGTTTTGAAGATGTGGAAACTGAGGTTCAAATAGAGTAAATAACTCATCTAACATCATAAGCCTGGAGTGACAAGTTCCTGTTTTCCATCCCTAGTGAGAACAGGACTGTGGCTCTAAGGTTCCTCATATCCTAACTTACTCTGTAGGACTGATTCAGAAAGATACAGCCCATTCAGAATCTAAGGGAAACCTGCAGGTTCATTCTTCAGTTTCCTGTTAAATCTCAGTGTCTCTAATTATAGATGAAAACCCCACTGCCTAGAATGGAAACCCACATCACAACAAATTTAGCTAAGTGGTTCCTATGCAGTTTTATTCTCAGCAATTGATTTCTGGATAATAGTTTGGTTGTTATGCACAAAATACAGTCTTGGAAAGTTAATAATTATAGTTTTTAATAAACTAGATATAAAATTAATGTGTTAATTTATTATAGAAAACAGATCAATGAATAATTACTAATAGGATGCAATCACACCGCTCACTGAATCCTAGAATAGTCTATCCTAATAAATACTCATTAATTAATGAGTCAAAGAAAATGGCATTAGTGTAACCAGCTCAGAATGATCCTATCCTGTTTAATAATATACTGAGTTGCTTTTCAGAGGCAACAGACCAAAGCCACAAGTCATGCAGCCCAAGCTTGTGTAGAGGAGAGAACTTTGACCTCCAACTGCTACACCAGGAACCAGAGCCTCATCCTCACCTTTCCTCAAAACCAAAGATACAAAAGGACAAACCAGAACTTGAACACCAGAAACCTACTGGAGGGGCTCGCTGTCCAGGAAGATTCAGTGCTGACGCTCCTTTAACATAAATGGCCAAGTTCCAACATCCTTTAATTAAAACTTGCCCTTCCAGCACTTTTCTGTATGTATTTTTCCAACCCCCTAAAAACCCTTAACTTTGTCCAGTGAACAAGATGGATTTGAGGCACTATTAAGTCTCCCATCTTCTCAATTGGCAACTTCTCGATCAATAAACCTTTCCTTACTCTATGCTCTGATGTTTTAAGTTTTGGCCTTTTGAAGCATCAGGCACATGAACTTGGGTTTGGTGACATTAGGTGTGCGAAACTTTCCCTTGGTGTACCACTCAATTTTAAAAAAAGAAAATGTTGCTTCCCTTTTTTCCTCTTCAAAGAACACACAATTATGATGTGTCCCAAGGCTCACAGAGTCTGTTCTTTATATGCTTGTTCACTTCCTAGGCTATCTCAACAAGTTTCTCAGCTCTAGATCCATCTTTGTGGCAATTACTCCCAAGTTGATATAGCCTGCCTAGACCTCTTTTTTGAACTTCAGGCTAGAAGGGTAATAGCATATGGCACCCCAAAATATGCCCCTTTGGCATAAGGATTATTTTGAGCTAATTATTTTGAGAAACTGCAGACACAGGAGAACACATTAAAGGTTGCCATTTTGTAAGAGAAATTTTCATTTATAAAGGAAATCTGCATTTTAAGGGTCTCCTTCTCTGTACCAGGAAGAAAAGGAGGACTGGATCATAGGAAGAGGGTCTTATCAATGGAGAAGGCACTGGCTTAAATTGGCATGACAAATCTTACTCTACCTTATTATGCTCTCCCTGGCAATCTCCCATAATATCCTTTGTCTTTAGATGGAGGTGATATTTAAGGTGGTGGCTTCACTTATTTCGGAGATTTATTTTGTTTTCCTGGTATCTCCCATGTATACAGGAAGTGTATATATTACTAAACTTCTGTTTTTTCCTTCTGTTAATCTGCCTTTTATTTAAGGGAGTGTGGGCAGTGGAGGGAGGCTACAGCCTGAAAGAGATGAGAAAAAATTATTTTGCTCCCCTATGACCCCTAACGGGTTTCCCTGTTCCAGCCCTTATCCTCATTATACTCTATTATCAAAACCACAACCAGAGAAATCTTGTTGAAGGATTAGCCAGATGATGTCACTCTTCTGCTCCAGTCCCCTCATGGCTTCCCATCTGTGATACTGTGATTTAAAATAAATATATATTGATATTTTGATCTTTGTGCCTCACAGATCCTAAAACTGTCGGAATTTCATAAACAACAAAAACAATGGGAGCATCTTTTGTTATAATATTTGGTCTTTTGTCCTCAGTTCCTAAAGTAGCTTCAGCATGGAAAAGGTAAACTGGTATCTTTCATCATTCATAACAAACTCCTTTCAGCAACACCGTGTGTTTGTTAATGAGGTGACTTTTGGAAAGCACTTAAGGATGGGGGCAGTAGTCAGAAGAACCAGGCATTATTAGAGGGTTGGACCTTTCAGTCCCACTCCCCACTCCCGCTGCCAGAAAAGGGCTGGAGGTTAAATAAAACCAAAAATGAATGACTTACTCAATCTTATTTACATAATGAAACCTCCATAAAAATCCCTAAGGTATGGGGTTCGGAGAGCCTACAGGTTGGTGAACAAGAGCATATCCATGTGCAGAGAGGGTGGTATACTTCACACTCCACAGGGACAGAAGCTCCTGTGCTTGAGTCCCTTCTGGGCCTCACCTTATCACTCTCTTTATCTGGCTGTTTGTATCCATCCTTTAATAATCTTCATAATAAACAAATAGCCTAATAAGAAAACTGGTTTCCTGAGTTTTGTGATCTGTTCTAGCAAGTTGATCAAACCTGTGGAAGGAATCATGGGAACCTCCAACTTATAACTGGAGGTCAGAAGCACAGGGGACAATTTGGACTAGCAATTGGCATCTGAAGGGGAAGAAGAGGGGTGGTCCTGTGAGACTGAGCGCTTAGCCTGTGGGACCTGATACTGTCTCTAGGTAGGCAGTGTCAGAATTGAGTTAGCCTATGGAACACCCAGTCAGTGTCCACTAAGAATTTGGAGAATGGCTTGGTAGTGTTAAAAAAAAAGCAAACAAACCCATCCTATCACTTGTTTAAAGTCAAAGCTGAAGGTCTTACAGTAATCGAGATCCCACACCATCTGGCACCAACCTCTTACCCCTGACTTCATCTCCTTTGCTCTCCCTTGTCACTTTGCCCTAGCCACACTGGCTTTCCTGATGGTCCTAGAACACCCAGGTCCGCTCCTTTCCACTTCCTGTTCTCTACTTGAAACATTCTGTCCTTAGACATTTGCATGGCTCCTTCTCAAGCCAGCAGTCTTCACCCTAATGTCATCTTGGCCAAGCCTTCCTTGACAACAGTATCTAATATTATACTCCACGTGGGGTTCCCTCTGCTCTCTCCTGCTTTGTTTCTTCTCTGGTACTTACTACTATTATCTAACTTATTTATAATATAGATTGCTTGTTTGTCATTTGTTTCCTGACTGGAATGTTAACTTCACAAAGGCAGGGCTTTTGTCCATTCGTAGACTGCTGTCTCTACAGGACCTAACTCTGCCTTAGTCCCAGGATTGGGGTCAGTACCGGAGGCTCTCCCGCCCACACGCTCATGCCAGAGCTCCGACACACTCCCCCAAGCACTGTGGGTGAAGAGAAATGAACATGGGTATCAGTGGTTCCTTTGTTCAGACAACATGCCCTCATTGAGCACCTGGCATTGTCAGTCTGCTCACTGAGTCCAACAGGTGCCTTTTGTTGGAGAACTACCCACCAGGTAATGCCAAAGAATCCAGGGCAGGAAGTCATTCCTATCAGTAAACAACTAAACAACTAGAACAAGTTAGACAGTGTGTGCCTATGGGGCTTACCACGTGCTACCCCACTGCGTGCCTTCCAAAACCACCAATAAATCAGGTCCTGTGTCTACCCTGATTGATTTTAACAAATGCATCCACTTAATAGAGTTGAGCTGGGGAGACTGAGCTTGGCAGAACAGTATCGCTGGACCAGCCCCCAGGGCTAGGCCAGCACAGCTGCGGTTCTCATTCTCTCTCTGTCTCTGTCTCTCTCTGTCTCTCTAGTTGTTTAATGAGAGGGTCTTACTCCTAAGCTAGGCCATCTGGCACCATGTGGGCCTTGTTTTAGAGAATTTTAAGTGCTCGCATAGAGGTTAATTTATTAGCCTGGCTACCTACTGATTTTAAAGGGTTTAAAAAAGAAAAAAAAATTTTTTTTCCAGAAATATCAGCCCTGCATTATTCAAATAAACAGAACTGGAGGAGAGGGGGCAAAGGAGTATGAAAGATAAAAACTAAAAAAAAGCATCAAAGAATAACAGTTGGTATCATATACACGGCACTCTTCCAAACTTGTTAACCAGGGAAGTTCATTAAATGTTCAGTATGAACTATGAAGTAGGCAGCATTTATAATCAACATCGCTGTTTTCCAACGGGGGTGACTGAGGCACAAAGAAGTAATTTGCTCAACTCATGAGCCCTCTAGGAGGGCCGTCAGTATTGAACCCAGGCAGTCTGGCTCCGGAGTTTGTCCTCTTAGTGTGCAGTAATAGATTTACGACCTTAAAATAGCAGCCCCGTGGCCGGGCGGCGGCGCGAAAGGGGCGCGGGGCGGGGAGCTTGGGGCACGGAGCACGGGGCATAGGGGGCCCGGACCGGCGGAAGGGAAGGTGGCAGCGCGCGGGGCGCTACAGCCTGCGCCGTCACCTGGAGCTGGCCTGGAATTGTTCAATAGCGGACTCGCAGCTCTCGAGGATCTTCCCGCACTCCTCGCTTTCGAGAGTGTAGTCCTCGCTCTCCATAGGAGCTGGGGGGTTAGCTGCTATGCTGTGCCCCGCCTCCAGCCGAGACTCATTCTGGAAGTGTGAGTCCTGAATCCGCGTCCGTTGCCATGACGACTCCTAGGGAACTGGCGGTGCGCGGGAATCCGCGGGCTGGGGGTGAGGCGGGATCGCCGAGGACCGCTGGGCGGGCTCTGGTGTCGCCTCCGTCCGGCTTCCTCTGCCCACCACTCTCGGCCTCCCGACAAGGCACTCTACTCTCTTCCATGGAGCCTAGAGCTACGCCGTCGCTGTAGTGTTCCCAGAAAGCTGGACCCCCGTAGATAATCCTGCGACATCCCACCACTTCAAACTCTTCTTGCCCCCTCTTTCACCTAAGGTTCTGAGTGCAGCCTTTTGCGAGGCCCGCGCGCGCACTTAGGGAGGTGGGGTAAGGTAGGGTGTGTATTCCTGCTTTCTTTCTACAACACGCTTAGTTCGGTGGCGCTTGCTTTCCTAGCCCTCTGCCCTATGCTGCAGATCACCCTTAGAGAGGATATAAAATAGTGCGCCCACCTAGTAACGACGCTCATGACATGAGTCCTGGGTTCCCAGAACAGTGCTATATTAAGGAGGAAGTAGGCGGCCTGAAGAATTGCCTACACCTTCCTGCCACTTGAGCACACCCATAGGTGTTCATAAACAAAAAAATTCTGTGCAGAGATTAAACAGGCCTACGTTCCTATTTAAACTGAAGGTCAGAAGTAAGATGTTAGGCTGTGTAGTGTGGAATTCATTTTTTTCTAAGCTTCTACAATAATAAGAGAAAAATCTTAAATCATGAAACTATTGCTCATCCTTTGTTTTTAATTCCACTCTCATAATTAATAGGAGACACATATCCTAATATCAATATCATTGCCCTGTTTTTAGAACTAAGTATACTACATTTCCATTTCTATATACTGTCTACAGGAAAACAAAATATTTTCCTCTTTCTTATAATAGCTATGTGAAAAGAAGTTATTTTGATATTAAAAGCCCAAAATAGAAAAAGGAAATCACTGTAGCAATTATTACCACTTTTATATTTAAACACAAAGAGAAAAAGCCCCAAATGACTAACAAAAATCATAACCAATGCTAAATAATCTTCTCTGAAAGCACAGTTTCCTTTGGAGAGATGAACAGAGGAGAAAAAGTTACTATTACTCTACAAAGATTTTTATTTTTGAAATCTAACTTCTAAGCTTACTGAGAAAAATTGTATTATATAATCAAAATGTCTTTTAAAAAAGAAATGTATATATCTATAATAAATTATTTTCTTAAGTGTTTTTTTTATAATACAAAGCATATGAATTTTTAAATATAAAGAATTAAATTCCAAGTTAAAATGAAAAATTTGATCTGTTTAGAACCAGGCCAAGATAGCAAAAAGACTGTGATAAGCCATTGTCTATTTTACTAATGTAATTCTAAATGAATATTTTGAAACAGGAGAGAGATCTCAAAGTAGATTTCATGAGTCATTGGTCAGCACTGTGCAGTGTTTGTTGACTGATAAGGACTACATAGTTACACCATCTCACAAAAACAGGTACTGAACAAAGCCTCTTTGTTTGAAACCTTGCTATAGCATATCAAGAAGGTTCAGATTTTAGTGTCTAGGAGATCATGTAATGATGATGATTTTTTTTTCAAAAGTTTATTTAGAAAGTCACAGAGGCAGAAGAAGTGAGCCATGGAAAAAGTGAGCCAGCTGGGCTTCATGGGCTCAGGAAACAAGTTAGAGACAAAAGAAAGCTCAGGAGAAAGAGGGAGGCAAGGAAAACATGCCTGGGGGAAAGTGAGGGAGAAAGGCATAGGTGTGTGAGATGCGGGGGTGGGGGTAGGGGTAGGGGGCGGAGGGGGAGCGTGAGCGCAAGCACAGGTCTGTTTTTGAAACTATTAGCTCCATAATTCTTCTCTTCTTGTCAGTTATCTACATTTATGTCTCAGGTATATTCCTTATAAAATTGTTCATTTCAGATCATTTTCTCACCTATAAGAACTAGGGGTACTGTCAACAGATTTGCTAGAGTAAATCCACACTTGTTGTATCACATGCTGAATTCATAGATGGTTTTTAGTGGAAATCTCAGGAGCTCTAGAGTAAATGTGTTTTTAAAAACCCACTGGTTCTGAAACTTACCTGCTTTAGAGCAGCAACTTCCAACCTTTTTCCTCTCATGGCACACATAATTTAATTACTAAAATTCTACAGCACATAAAAACATATACTTTCTGCTGATCTGACAGAAATAATAAGTATAATTTTGACTCATTCACACCAGATGGCTCTTGTTTTGTTGGCTGTTATCATTTATTTTATATGACAATCTGAGGGAAAAGAGGTCAGTGCCTGACTAAAGAGACAGGTATTGCATGTTTTAAAAATTCTTGCAACACACCAGTGTGCTGCAGCACCCTGGCTGAAAATCACTGCTTTAGAACATTGGGCAAATATCTGTGAGCCTCTTTTTTCTCACCAGTAAAAACTGGACAATGAACTGGACAAAAAACTGGATAAGGGTGTTTGGGAGGAGTAGTCTATAAAGTGAGAAAAGCATGCAGCACACTGTAAGACAAATACTAATCAGGACATCACGGACTCTTTTCCTCCATTCTAAACCTCAACTAACGAATACGTTGTTGAAGGTTTTTTGTTTTTTAGAATTTGAATATTCCAGGAGCTAAAATAATTTTTACTTGGTAAATTAATAGGACTTAAGGCATAATGTTAAAATTTCAAGTGTTTCTCTGAAACACATGTGTATAAATATAATGTGTATTTATATGAAAATATCACCTACCAATTATTAAAAGTGATAACATCTTGGATTAAATAGCATGAGGGTTTGATTAAGAGTCAAGTGCTGACTCTGAACACAGTAATTTATATATTCCAGTTGGATATTATCAGCTTTATAGTCTAATAAAAGCCAAGAGGATTCAGTTTAGGTTTGTAATTTAAATTCCTTTTAAAGAGTCATCATATGTAAAGTGCTCATTTTTCTTTTGTCACCAGCTGTAATCTATAATTACATAGTACAGGCTCTGTTATGTAAACGTGTTATATGTCCTGCTTCATCCATAACCAAAGTTCTTAAATAAAGGGCTGGGAAAGGAGATAGCAAGACCCTTAACCAGGACAATATTGTATTACTAAATCCTTTATGGAAAAGCTTCTGAGACTAGATCATTTTAACATCTTAAATTTCAAGGCAGTGAGATAACATATCCATTCTTGTAAGGAACACAGTGACTCCGTCGGTAAGTGTTTGGCACATGGCTAATGCTGAAAACCAAGCTGGGAAGCATGACAGGGAGTTTGAGCCAGAGCACCCTTGGTATGGAATTTGGATCTTTCTGCCAAATGTCGTTGAATGCTACCGTAGGGGGTTTTCTCTATTTGGAACTAAATTTAGAGCTTTAAAAGGGAGATAAGTAAAATGTGAAGAAAATGGTAGAGCTAAGCCATATGTAGAAGTGCATGCACCTGAAAGAAGATTTGTGAACCTGCTGCTGAGGGAAATTTGGGAACTTTCCAGGTCTGGTCAAGTGACCAGAGTGGCTTTTCATACATGGAACGTAACCTAGGAAATCTGTAACACATACATCTCCATATGTAGTGAGGTGGTTCAGGAAAATTAGAAGCCTGAATAAAGAGTAACAGAAGGGGAATTGCTATATTTCATGTGATCTAAGGTTTCATCCAAAAACATTAAAAGTGTGAATCTTAGAATCAGTGAAATAAGGTAGACGATAAGAATTTATCAGACAAGACATTTTCAGGGAGGAGGTTCTACTTCATCAGACCGCTGAGACAGTTATTCTCATGAAAAGTGGAACATTCATCAAGCTTTTCCATAACTTGGACAAAGTATCCACACAGGACCATCTAGCTCTCTTTGTTCTTCTTCCAGTGGAACAAGACAGCTTGTCAGTAACTAATTCAAGTCCTTGGGTACATAGTGTAGATTCCCAAGGAAGACTTGACGTAGGCAGCAAACATGATTTTGGTTGGTGTGAGAATTCTCCTGTAGCCTGACTTAAACGAACTGATCAAAGAGCATTTAGACTTGCCTACAGGAAGACTAAACTTAGAGGGAAGGTATTCCCCACAAAGAACCCCCAAGTCCAGTCTTGCCTGGGCAGTCACCTTGGATGTCTCATTAACACCCTATAGCTGTAATATTAGGCACTTTTCATCATCCTTCAGCTTCCAACCCTATTCTGGAAATGTGAAACAAAAAAATTCTACTTTAGCAATTTTAAGAACTAATGGGGGATGTTGGACATAGGAGAATATGGTAATGTGAAACCCAAGTTTGTTATTTTTATATCTATTTATTTGATAATAGTTATGTATACACTGACAACTATTATTTGTATGTTACACAGATTGCCCTATAACCAAGCATATAACTAAGGTTCTGATCAGGAGTACATAGTCCAGGGGTGGTCCACCCACCATTGCTCAAATCAGAAAGCCTAAACACAGAAGAGACTACTCCAAGCTCTGCTGCTAATGGTTCTAGATCAACATGCTATACCATGCCAGTTAACATACTGAATATTGGCAATGGGTTTTTATTGGTGAATGTAGTGGTCTATTGACTAGCTTATTGACTAAATATTAGAAATGAGCTCAAATTGGCGCATTAAAAAATGTTAAAATATGTAACTCAGCTAAAATAGCTCAGAAATCCTTCCTCCATTGCAGAAACAGTATGTAAAACTCTATGAAGGCTATAACTTAAACCCTGAGGGATGGGGTTTAGGGCTTGAACCCCTAACAGTTCTCTGTTCAGCCTTTGCTTTATTGTTGCCTGATGCCTACTGAAAGGGCCTATGACCTTTCTTCTCAAATGTTATTACATCTGCTTTAAAAGAACCATTCACCCTGGTGGTAGTCAGAACACCTGAAAAGGTAGAAAGGTAAGATTGTGTGGACATCACTGAATAGGTTGCATAAACTGGGGCCTGCTTGTTAATGAATGTTTCTTTAAAAAATTTTTTTAAAAATTGATTTGAGAGGAGAGAGGAAGGAAGACAGAGAGAAAGAGAGAGAGAGAGAGAGAGAGAGAGAGAGAGATCAATTTGTTGTTCCACTTATTTATGCATTCATTGGTTGATTCTTGTATGTGTCTTGATTGGGGATCAAACCCACAGCCTTAGTGTATTGGGATGATGATCTAACTAACTGAGCTACTTGGCCAGGGTGCTAATGAGTGTTTCTAAAAATAAATGTCTGAGATTTGCTTTCATTATTAGCTGAGAGCAAGATTGTGAGGAAATAGACAATCTTCATCTTTATCAAACTTCTTCTATAAAGGATACATCTACTCAAAGAAACTTAAGGATTGTGTTTGACTAATTAGGTCAGTTTTCTGGGAAACTATAAGAAATAATAAAAGCTACCAAATACAAGTGACTGATGAACAAAATCTGTATCTGTCTTATTTATCCTTGCATCCCCAGCCCCACCCATGCCACCCACATAGTAAGTGTCCTATAAGTTGACATAGTGAGTCAATGACTAATGCTGAATAAGTCCTTTAAAAGAGCTATTTCTAAAGAGCTGTGCACCTCAGTAGCTGGCACTGGAGAACTAGGCAGGAAAATTCTGGCTGCTTACTAGAGGAGAGACTGAGCGATTAATCTAAGCTGCCAATGCTTGATGCTCCAGGAAGCCATGCCTTCCAGGGAAGCAGCAAGTATTTCAGACTTTAATGCTATGCTGTCACATTCTTTATGAAGAAGGAATCCCCATCATCAATGAAAAGTGAAAAGAGAGGAAGGAGTACAGGTAAGAATTTCCTATCAGGATATTCTGGATCTAGTTTCAATTGATGAAGAGATTGGCCCAGTTAGGAAAAGTTGTATGTGACTGGGATGGTCAATTTTATGTGTCTTCTAGGCTGAACCATAGTACCCAGGTATGTGAGCAAACATTATTCTGGTTGTTTATGTTGGAATGTTTTGGGATCAAATTAGCTTTTATTTACTTATTTTTAAAAGATCTCATGTATTTATTACTGAACCAACCTACTAGTGCAGAAAAATATTAACAAATATAAAAGTAATTTGTCCAATAATTTCCCAATAAAATACATCCAACTGTCTAGATAGTAGTAATTTTTTCAGTAATATGATAAGATGCAAGCAACTTGGATACTGCATAAATATGTAAGCCATCTCGTGCAATTCCTTAGAGGCCCAGCTTGGTTTTTCTCCACTGTCTCCTCTTGGAGTTCTACCTGATTTTATTACTATGTTTCTAATGAATCCACTGGGGAATGGGCTGATTCTGCTTTTGATTCTTGGCCAGGGATATCTTGACCCTGAAAGCCTTATGAGAGGACATGGCAAAGAAGAGTTAACCACATGCACTGTGATGATGGACAAAGAGGGTCAGAGGAATTTTTAGAACTCGTGAACTTTAAGTAAAGCAGATTACCCTCTATAATGTGAGTGGGTCTCATCCAATCAGTTGAATGCTCTCTAGTCATGTGCTACTTAAGGACAGAGACATATTCTGAAAGTGATCATTAGGCAATTTCATTGCTGTGCAACCGTCATTACACAAATCTAGATGGTATAGCCTACTACACACCTAGGCTATCTGATGTAGCCTATTGCTCCTAGGCTACTAACCTATACAGCATGTTACTGTAGTCAATACGGCAGCTAATTGTAACACAATGGTAAGTATTTGTGTATCTAAACATAGAAAATGTAAGGTAAAAATGCTTTTAAAAATAAAAAATGGTAGACCTGTATGGGGAAGGCAGCTGGCAGGACTGGAAATAGTATTGGGTGAGTCAGTGAGAGTTGGAAGTGACTGTGAAGGCCGGGGCATTACCATACACTACCACAGATTTTACATACATTGACACTTAGACTACGCTAAATTTATAAAAATATTCTTTATTCAATAATAAATTAACCTTAGCTTACTATAATTTTTTAACTTCATAAACTCTTTAATTTTTTAAAAACTTTCAGACTCTTAAAATACCACTCAAAACACAAGCACCTTGTACAGCTGTACAGAAATATTTTCTTTATTTATATCCTTATTCTATAAGCTCTTTCCCCATTTTTTAATTTTTAATTTTTACTTTTTAAACATTTTTCTTAAAAATGGAGGCAAAACCACACATATTAGCCTAGGCCTTCTCAGGGTGAGGGTCATCAATATCACTCTCTTTCACATCCGTATTTTTTCGTACTGGAAGGTCTTCGGGACAGTAAAACTTATGAAGCTGTCATCACCTGCCTGCGGCTATTCTTGAGGAGCTGTCACTTATTTCAGAAACATGTCCATGGTGGTTTGCTTGATTTGTTTCTTTCTTTCTTATTTATTTATTTATCCTAGATTTGCTTGTAAGCAGATAATGCACCATGAATATTCTTATCAGTGAAAACCTGTTTGGGGGTCCATGTTCTCAAACTTTTTCAAAAGCTTCTTAAGGTCTTTAAAGCTTCTACTAAACCCTTCACAATGAATTTCCTTGGGGGTTCTTCTTTTTTATTCTCCTGCAGTTTCCTTTTCTCTTGCCCTTTCTTCAGCTATGCGTTACTGTCCCATTGGTCAGTTCTTCAGGAACGACTTCTAAGAGTTCCTCAGTGTCATTCTCATCCCCATCTAGGTTAAAGTTGCTTGTCATTGCAACCATTGTGGCTGATTTCTGCAACCTTTGTGCTATGCTGTTACAACAGCTACCCCATTGGACAATAGAACTTTCTCAGCTTCATTATAATCTTATGGGACCATCTTCCAGTAGGTGCATCAGTATGTGGTGCATGAACATATTTCATTGGTTATGCTATGAACAAGATGCTGATGGAGAATTGAAGGCTGTCCTCGCCCAACCCACAGGGGCTCTGCAGCAGATGGCCTACGGGCTTGAACTGCAATATTGACTCTCCTGAATCTTTAGCCTGATGACCTTCAGATTAGAACTGCAGCAACAGCTCTCCCTTGGGTCTCAGCTTGCCCACCCACCCTGCAGATTTGGGAATTGCCAGCCTCCATAATCATTTGAATAAATTCCATAAAATAAATCTGTCATCTATCTGTCTAAAATCATCCTATTGGTTCTATTTCTCTGGTGAACCCTCACTAACACAGTGACCAATGGAAAGTTAATAAATTAATCGGAAAACACCATTATAGTCTTGCAGAATTTATTATCTTATTATCAATAATAGTAAATGTGATGGTTAATTGTATATGTCAACTTTACCAGGCTAAAGGATGCCCAGATAGCTGGTAAAACATTATTTATTCTGTGTGTGCCTGTGAAGGTATTTCTGGAAGAGATTAGCATTTGAATGGGTAGCCTGAATAAGGGTGATCTCCTCACTAATACGGGTGGGCATGGTCTAATCTCTGGAGAGCCTGTATAATACAAAAAGGTGGGGGAAGGGTAAGTTTCTTGGGCTTCCAGTTTGCAGATAGAAAACAGTGGGACTTTTTAGACTGTATTATCACATGAGCCCCTCTCTCAAAATAAACCTTTTTTAAATATATCTTATTGGTTCTATTTTTCTGAAGAAACCTAATACAATAAACATATTAAAAAGACTGAGAAAATGATTATTATAACAAGTTTAATATTATTTACTAAATATTTACTGTGTACAACAACTTTTCTAAGGGTTTAACACACTACTCATTTAGCTGATTACTTGCAATTTAAAAATGAGAAAATGCAAATATCAAGAAGTTGCCTTACTTGTCCAAGTTCACAGCTAGCAAGGGTTAAAACTGGATTCTGAACACAATATTGTTCCAGAGCTTACACACTTAATCAGCAATTGCTTCAGCAACTGACATGAGGAACAAATTGTTTCAGTTCTTCTCACAGTGTTAGTTTTGGCAATGGCCTAAGAAATATTTCTAGTTGTCAGGTACATATTAACAAGTAAATTACGAACATGTATTGCTGGGGTTGCTGTAGAGAATTAACATGTTGTCTAACTGGAGCCCAGTTATCAGGGAAATTCACCTTTGTGCAATATTTGTGAGAACCAGAAATTAAGCAAAATGATATGTACCCATTAAGTCTACAAAGTTTATGGCTAAAACTTATTTACTTTATTCTTTGGAAAGTTTCTTTTCTTTTTTAAATTATATTTTGTTGGTTATGCTATTGCAACTGTCCCAAATTTTCCTCTTTGCCTCCTTCCACTCAACACCCCCAGCTCCCTCAGGCAACCCCACAACATTGTTTATGTCCAGAATATAAGAAAGTAAAAAACAAAAACAAAACAAAACAAAAAATATATGTGTAAGTTATTTGGCTACTCCACTTCCTATACTGTACTTTACAAACCGATGGCTATTCTGTAACTACTTATTTGTGCATCTTAATCCTCTCACCTCTTCATCCATTCTTCCCCAGTCCCCCTCCCACCTGGCAACGATCAAAACACTCTTCCTATCTGTGATTCTCTCTCTCTGTTCTTGTTTACTTTGTTTTTTAGATTCAATTGTTGAAGATATGCATTTATTGCCATTTTATTGTCCATAGTTTTGATCTTCTTTTTCTTAAATAACTCCCTTTAACATTTCATATAATAATGATTCAGTGATAACGAACTCCTTTAGTTTTTTCTTGTCTGAGAAGCTGTTTATCCTGCCCTTCAGTTCTAAATGATAGGTTGGCTGGGCAGAACAATCTTGGCTATCGGTCCTTGCTTTTCATGACTTGGAATATTTCTTCCCCTCTAGCCTGCAAAGTTTCTTTTGAGAAATCAGCTGACAGCTCTATGGGAACTCCCCTCTAGGTAACTAACTTTTTTCCCTCTTGCTGCTTTTAAGATTTTCCCTTTATTTTTAACCTTTGGCATTTTAATCATGATGTGTCTTGGAGTGGGGCTCTTTGCATTCATCTTGTTTGGGACTCTGTGCTTCCTGGACTTGCATGTTTATTTCCTTCACCAAGTTAGGGAAGTTTTTCTTTAATTGTTTTTTTCAAATGGATTTCCAATTTCTTACTCTTTCTCTTCTCCTTCTGGCAGCCCTATCATGTGAATGTTCGCATGTTTGAAGTTGTCCCAGAGGCTCCTTACCTTATCCTCATTTTTTTTTTTGATTCTTTTCTCTTACTGTTGTACTTATTGGTTATTTTTTGTTTTGTTTTGTTTTTGTTTTTTACTTTCTTATATTCTAAATCATTGATTTGATTCTCAGCTTCATCCACTCTACTGTTGTTTCCCTGTAAATTGTTCTTTATTTCAATTAGTGCATCCTTCATTCCTAACTGGATATTTTTTATGCTGTTGAGGTCCTCACTAAGTTCCTTGAGCAGCCTTATAACCAGTGTTTTGAACCCTGCATCTGATAGAGTGCTCATCTCCATTTCGCTTAGATCTTTTTCTGGAGTTTTGATCTGTTCTTTCATTTGGGCCATGTTTCTTTGTCTTCTCATTTTGACAGCCTTCCTGTGTTTGTTTCTATGTATTAGGTAGAGCTTCTATGACTCCTTGTCCAGGTAGCGCGACCTAATGTAGTAGATGTCTTGTAGGGTCCAGTGGCACAGCCTCCCGTACCACCCAAGCTGGGTACTTGAGGTGCACCCTTTGTGTGGGTTGAGTCCAACCTCCCCTTGGCTGAGTGCTGGTTGCTCTTGGCAGGTTAAATGGAGGGATTTACCTGGGCCAGTCAGCTACAACAATTGTCTGTAACAATGTACCACCAACCTCCGCCCTCCATGGAAGATCAGCTATGCAGGGGCAGGGTAGTGGTGTTCCAGTATGATCTGTAGCTGTCCACTGGGTGCACAGGCCCTGGTCAGCCCCTACCTGTGTTTTGCCTGGGACCACTCTCCCTGAGCTATAGAGCAATCTGAGATGGCTGTTACTTGCGCTGGGCTTGGAGATTTCCAGGAAAAGCCAAGCTGTGAACCTGGCTGGCTTTTTCTAGTGCTGGGCCTGGGACCACTTAGCAAAGGCTATGGGGGTCAGGGGGCTTACTGAGGCCAGCTGTTGCATGTTTGAGAGGATTTAGGAAGTTGTAAAACATGAGCCAAGACAAGCTATTCATATGAAAAAAGCCACTGTTAACAGCTGTGAGTTGGGTGGGAAGGATCTCAGGGGTGCTCTAGGGCAGGGCAAACAGTGTTAGCTAGGTTAATGGAGTCTCAGATATGGCACCCCATGCTGGCTCTGTTGCTCTGTGAGGAGAGGGTTCAGCAAAGGGACAATGGCCTCTGACCACCTCTCTGAGAGAAAGCTGTCCCCCAGCTCTCACCTGATGCCAGACCCTACGGTTCCTCCCTGTATGCCTATGGTAACTTTCAAGCTGCTATCCCAGTGCTCGAGCTCAGAGGGAGTGAGTCTGTATAAGTCCATGTG